CCCAGGGAGATGCAAGCAGCTCTTCCAGAACAGTTCCACTGAAATGATGCCAAAACTTGGCTAAAAACACAAGCAAACATGAAGGAAGTTATTGCTAAACAGGCAGAGGAAGCAGGGGACAGAAAGTATTTCTTCAGGGCCAAAGGCTACAGGGAAAGTTCCTGCCCCAAAAGGGACATCCCTGCCCTAAACAGAACCACCTGCTGCTTCTATTTCCTGAGGACTGGAGAGAATCCAAACCCCAGCACAGAGCAGCAGCCACCCACCTTGAGACTCCTTTTGGTTTCACTCTGAGCATTTTCATGACAATAACCAAGCACTGAATGAGCTGCCTCAGGAATTCCAGGGCTGCACTGAGCTCCCCACACTACCTGAGCTGTGACTGGGGAGCAGCTCTGCCATGACAAATCCTGTGGTTCCTGTTGCCATAGCAAAGCACTACACTGGGATTCACCTCTCAGAGATATCACAAAAGATCAGGAGAATCTTGGTCTTGGGAATACTGTGGGAATACACAGTAAATCAATGCCTTAAATATATCAAATTAATCATACAGGACACAGTTTCTGGTGTAGGGGAATTTGTAACTGCTTCTATACTGATGGTGGGGCTGCTTTTAAAGGGTCAAGGCTGCAATCAGGCAAGAATGTTTACAATAGAGAAGCAAATCTGTCGCAGACATTTTTTCACAGAAATCTTTTTTTTAGGATTGTCCATCTTCTGGGAAGCTGAAGGCCCCAGAAGGAGAATGTAAACAATTGTTATCAGCTGCTGTAGAATGCAATAAGATGCACCTGTGATTGGTTCATGTTCCAGGTGTACCATTAAGAGCCAATCACAGGGCAAGCTCTCTAGAACACAGAGACAGAGAATTCTCTCGTTTTTAGATTCTTTCTATTCTTAGCTTAGCTTAGCAGCCTCTGCAACTTCTCTCTTTATTTCTATTTAGTATAGTTATAATGTATTATATATCATATATCAATAAATCCAGCCTTCTAATCAAGAAACAAGATTCTCGTCTTTCTCTCACCCCAGCGACCACCTCAGGTCGCTGTAATACAAATCTGTGTTGAACCCAGTTGTTACCCAGACTGGCTAAGGATGAGCTGGACCTGTGACCAGAGCTGGTCAATCCTTCCTCAGAGCCCCCTCCATATGGCCAGTGAACATCAAACCTTCCTCCTGCCCTCTCCAAACCCTCCCCAGGCCCTGCTATGACCCAGGAAACAGCAGCACAACCTACTCAGCTTCCCCTGGTCTAATTAAATGAGATTAAACTACTGATTTCAGTCTTGCAAAGTACTATTACTTCATATTAAACACTCAAATCCAAAAGGAAAAATAAAATCCCTAAGTTTTCAGCCCAATTATTTTTTTTCAAACCAGACTTGTCAAAAAAGTTGACAGGGAAAAGGCAAAGAGCTTATAAAAATATTTTCAAATGTACCATTCAAATGATCCCACTTCTGCACGTGTCTGCTGGCTTTTCATAATACTACTTTACTTCATGGGAAATACTCATTCCAAGAGAAATCATTAGAGTGTGGCTGAATTCAGATTTCCCTCAGCCCTCTCATTCCCCTCCTGACTTATGTAACTCCTAATTTATTCACAATCCTTGGGCTCATTCAGCACAGGACTTCACACCAAGGTCAGGCAATGCTTTTAACTGATCTTTTGCCACTTTCATTTCTCCAGGAGACACAAAATCCTGGATTATCAACTCCAGACATTCCCTCAAAAATAAAACAGGCTACAATCACCATTTTCTCACTTGTCAGAGCACAACCATCCCATATCTCTATGGAAAAGTGGCTCCCTAAGCCATACTTTCCAAATTAATAAAGATCCCTGTCAAATGGCAATCCCCTCTCCTGCTTTTTCATATTCACTGGCTGTTAGCAAGCTGAAACACCATTTCTAAATATAACACAAGTTATTTGTGAGGGAATATGATGCAAAACATCAAGGAAAGAGATGAGCTGAAGGATGACTCTGCTGAATTCCTCAGGAGTATCTCTGAGGCAGGATTGGCATGGTCAGAGCTGACAGCACCGTCCCTGCCTGGTGCTGCACTCAGCCCAAATTCAGTGAGAGATGCAGATGCTCAGTGAGAGATGCAGATGTTTCACACAGCTGGAGACAGCCACATCACTCAGGCCATGGGCTCTGTGTTCCCTACCCAAGGGCTCAGCTTTTCTCACTATTACACCACAAGGCAGCTGCCCCAGGGGCTACAAAACTCCTCCCTCTCTGGAATCTTCCTGGGAATGAGCTATGGTTCACCTCACCAGCAGATTTTCACCACCAAGTGCAGATTTTAGGCTGCTGCAGGTACCACCCAGAGACAGCTCAGCACTCTCACCACAGGATTCCATCCCCCAGTGGGTGGTCAGGATGAAGGAACCATCACAGGGTGAAGTCCTGCAGTGTGAGCTTCTTACTGAACAACACCACAAAGCTACAAGAAACATTTCTGCTTGCCAGATGAATCACTTTGGGATTCAACAAAACTAAAGAGGAAGCCCCAACTCAGATGAAAATCTAGAATTAAAAGCAACATCACAAAAGTGAGCACACTGAACTCATCCACTTCCTTTCAAAAGTAGCTGAATGCTGTACCAATTCCATACATGCAACCCCAAATTTTTGAGGGTTTGATGTAAGGACCTTCTGCAGGAGGTCAGAACCACAGCCACAGCTCAAGGCTGCTTCAAGGGGTTCTGTTTCTGCTGCACCTCCTGTTGGGAAATTTAGCAGACTAGAGAATGGAAAAGTACAAGACCGTGGCTAATTCCAAGTCCTGCACCTGTGAGACAGCGTGTCCTTGGGCCTAGCTGTAGTAGGATAACAAATAGTGAAAGAGACATGAGAAAAGAGAGATGTAACCCCTGAGGAATGAGGAAGAGTCGATGGTATAGTTTAACCAATAGATTGCTTGGCTTACAGAATATTCATAAGCTCGTTATTTGCTGTATAAGTGTTTGATGCTTTCTTCAATAAACTGGACCTGTGATGAACCAGCTGGTGTCCTGGTCTCCTTCCTACGACAACCTCCTCACCACAGGCTGTGTGAGATTTTAGCTCAAGCAGGGTCAAGCAGGAAGAGTTTAACAGGAACACACCTCTCCTGGTCTTTCCTGAGCAAGGGAGTGTGGAAAATGGGAAGAACTTCTGTTCTGCTCCTCCCTTCTCACTGCACATCAGATGTCTCTTCAAACTCTTAGAATAAGATTAAAACTGGATGCAAATGTTTCCTTCCTGACATTTTGTATTTGGATTTTTGGGCCAATCTAAGATTCATTAGAAAGGTCACTGGATAATGAATTAAACACTCCCAACACAATCATCACCAATGCCACAGGCTCTGGCTGCTGAGAACTCAGAGGAGAAAAGCTGGAGCAGCAGCAGCCTCTCCCTTCCACACCCTCTGCCTGCCCAGCCCTCTGGAGGAGTGGCTGGCAGGTGGACAGGGCACTTCTTCCTCCCAAAAGGGCTGAAATTGCTGCACATGCTCCAAAGCCTGCATTAGGAAGGCTCCAGCACTGAACTGGGATAAACTGGTGGGTTATTGTCACTCCTGTGACCATGCAGGAGGCACAGGAAAGCCCTCAGAGCCCACATCCACAATTTGCTCCCAAGCAGCAGAGCTCCAATGATGTGTGAGAGATCTGGAACAGCTCCAGCACAGAGAGAGGCACAGGGGGAACATCTAAATCTGGCCAAGACTCAAAGTGCAAATTCCTGCTGGGCCCATGGGACATGGTGACAGCACCACCCCCTGCCCTGACCCCAGACCTAGCCCCAAAATCCAGCTCACTCCAGCACATCTGAGCCTGCAGATCCCTTGGGCTGTGCTTTGGGATCCACCTGGGGCTGGGATAAGGCTTTTCCTTCTTTAAAGTCTCTGTGTTTCCACCTGGGGCTGGGACAAGGCTTTTCCTTCTTTAAAGTCTCTGTGTTTCCACCTGGGGCTGGGACAAGGCTTTTCCTTCTTTCAAGTCCCTGTGTTTCCACTCTGGTGGCACACAGAGCAATACAGAGCACTGAGCTCCACCCTGTGATGCACACCCTACGTGCCAAAGGAAAGGCCACAGGTGACAGCTACAGCCCCAGCAGGGACATGAGAGCACTGGACAGTGCCATGCATCAACCAGAGAACTCCAATAAATCACATTAGAAAAGCCAGAAGCATTAACCTGCAAGGCAGCCCTGCCTGAGAGGTTAGAGAGCTTTAGGATTAATAAGCATTGCCAGAGTTTGGGGGATTTGTTACCTCTGCACAGTCCAGAGCACAGACAGCCCCATCTCTAGGGGCTCACTCATGGAACATGGGTTACCAGCTCCCAGGTGTTCAGACCAGAGGCACAGGAACATGAGTGAGTTACTGAGGGCTCAGGGCACACCTGAGCTTCAAACACTCCACAGGTTCCTACAGAAAGGGGTTCAGTGTCACAGGAAGGATTCAGGCTCAAACAGCAAGGTCTGGTGTGTGCTGGGCCAGCCCACTGAGATTTGCTAATCCCTGACAAACTGCTGGGACCAGGAATAAATCCAACCTGTGAGAGTCCTGTGGAGAAACCAGGAGTGAGCCTCTCCCATCCAGAGAACCTCTGCCACACTTTCCATCCTCAGTGGGCCTTTCCTGGCCTTCTAATGGCTTCTGACCCCAGTGAGCACTGACAGATCACGGCAACTCCCTCAAATCTTGAATTTTTAACACCAAAACAGCAGCACAGTTGGAAGCTGCACCGCTCCCTGTCAGTGTGGAAAGTGAATTCTCCTTCCTCCACGCTGACTCTCACACACCCAGCACACACACAGCTCTAATCTGTACCAACAAGGGAGGCAGCAGCTGCCAAATATGAAACTCAACAGTGCAACTGGTTGGATATATTAATAATGGAAAGAAAATCTAATCGAGGAACAAAAAGCAGAAATAATTTTGTTAAAGATCAAGGCTGGAGTTGAAGGTTTCAGACACAAGGGACTGGACTTACCCTGCAGTGACTTTCCCAATCCCTGGCCCAGCTTCCAGCCATGTTTCTGGAGTAAGCGATGTCCAATATTATCCTGACAGACAGAACAGAGAAAACAAACCAAAAATATTCCAATAATATATTCTTCCCTTCCCACTGACATTTAAACATGTGATGAGCAAGAGATTTTTTCTACATATATATGCATGCAAAAAAATGCTACTGAAAAGGCAATATATGCCCAATAAAGGGAAAGACAAATGTCAAAAATTGCTGGCTAGAATTTTTCCAGGGGGATGGGGATTGGGGACGGTCACTTTCTGATGGTGTGCTGGGCAACTTTTGTGCATCACGTTTAAAAGAAATCAAAAAAGAATAAAACTAAAAAGCAATGTGGAAGAAAAGAAAGTGTACCAATAAAAATTGACAGTAAAAAGCATAAAATCAAGCTATTTATACAATCATATCCATCACCTAGACAGCACCACTTAAGATTTTTTTTTTTGTAAAGAAAATCTACAATGTGTTTAGTCATTTTGTTTGTGTGTCAGGCTTTTATAATACTGAGTAAGTTGTAAGTGCAAGACTGCCCCACCACTAGAAACCAAAACACAATCAGAGCAAAATCCAGGCTAGACTTGATTGGGTTTTTTTTATATATGTATATATATATATAAACTAGCATGCAGCCAATATTAAACTGAAAAAACAGTGAGGTTAGTAAAACAAAAAAAAAACAAAACAAAATCAATTAAATAAAATGAGCTCAAGCACAGACTGGGTGATGCATTTCACATGTAAACTAACAAAAATACTAAAATGTTAGAATGAAACAGGCCTAGCAATAAGTTAACAGCAAGGAACCATTAGTGCATGTAGGGGAAACAATAAGCATAATGTCTCATCTTCCTAAAAAAAAAAAAAAAAAGCTATTTTGGAATAACTGGAAAAGTTCTGATGCAGCAATTAAGTGTCAGCTTTTGGCAATGGGGCTGAGCAGGGCTCAGTGTGGAAATTGTTGCGTTTTCTGCAGGGTTTCTGCCGCCACACAAAGAGCAGAGCACTCACAGCACCCTGGAACCACCTCAATCTCCTCAGGTCACCCAGTTCCCAGCTCCTCAGAGAGGGACTCTTGGCTGGGACCTTGTTCACCTTCCAGTCACAAAAAATAAAAATAAAAATCAGGTATGAACTTGTTGATTATTAATTATCATCAGGCAAACCACAAGCTAAGGTATCACATAAATATCCTGAATTATAACAGGATGTGACTCCAGAACACTGAGTGCTACATGGAATCAAAAAATAATTATATCTATATGCTGCAGGTTCCTTTAATTAATTAACAGTAATCAACAGAAACCAGAGTAGGTTTTGTCACTCCACAGTGAAGAAAATGACCACAAGGGTTTGCACAACTTTGGTGAATCAGCTTGAAAGGCACAACCTTCCCAAAGATATTGGCTGCATGGATACATTTTTCCTCAAAAAGATGTTATCAAGTACAAATTTTGGATTTTTTTTCTGGTATCCTAATAAAGTCAGACATTTTTGTATTCAAGGAATAATGTACATTTTTTCCCACACTTCTGGCTGTGCCCCAGGACATAATTAGGGCTAGATGGAAAAAAAATTAAACCAGGAGGCATAAGGAAACTTCTGGGGATAAAAGGTCAAACAAAGAAAAATTTTAAAAAGGAAAAAAAAAAGGAAAAAAAGGAAAATAAACCACGAAAGAAAAATAAAGAAGGATGGATCCCCACCACAGGCACCCTCTCTGTTGGGAACACAGCAACACTTACCTGCAGGCCAATCCCAAGGACCACAGAGTGCCCCATCCTGGCACACAGGGGCTGCAGCTTGGGATATGTTTGGGATATTATTTTAATTTTAATTGTCCTACCCTGAACAAAGGATCACTAAATCGAAAAGTTGGTGCTGACAAAAATGGCTGCGTTTTCCAAAAGAGGAAAAAAAAAAGGAAAAAACAACAAAAAAAAAAAAAGAAAAAAGAATTGAAAGGACAAGGAGTACTTTGCAGTCTTGGCCAAGGGGAGATGAGACATTGTGCTGACTGTGTGTGTTATGAATGCACTAAAATAAAGACAGATGAAGCAGAACGCTATTCCAAAAGCAGTGCAAGTGGAGTGAAAGCATTTCCATACGAACCTGGCTTTAAAAACTGGGCTGTCAAAAGAACAGTTAAATGTAACACAAAGTAAGAAACTGTCCAATCACTAATGGTAGTTTTTTTTTTCTTTTGCTTTGTTTTCAATTCACTGCTTGCAAGTAATGTATTTATTAAAGAAGAGTGAAAGCATAAAATAAATTCAACAAGTCAAGACCAGCTGGGAGATTCAAGAGCGGTGTGTTGTGACTGACAGTGAAGGGGGAAACAAATGTTAAAGGGAAAAAGAAAAATTTAGAAAGGTTATACACATTAGCACCACTTTTACAGACCCACTCAAGAGGATGGTCCTGAGTTGTTTGACATAAATTGGAATTATGCCTGAACATTGCCCTGTCTCAGTTCCCAGGAAGGGGCTGTTCCCCCCTCCAGACTTTTCCATTTGTTTATTTATGCAGTGGAACCACTCCCTAATTTTAGATGCTACTCAATTGAAATGGAGCATCTCCTGTTGCACTGAATAAGGAGAACAACTCTAATAATTTAAAATTAACATTTGAGTTGTGATCTGGCCATCACTTTGCTCCTTTCTGGCCATGTTCAGCTCCTCCCTCCTTTTCCACTGGCTAACCCAGACCTCTGATGGAGGCAGACTGACAGAACTGCTCTTCAGTGCAAAAATTAAAATCCTGCCCTAAAAATTAAATAATGGAAAGCCAGGCTTGCTTAATCCCTAATACTAGGGAGTATCCAGCGATATTGGGACCAAAATGTGACATGGGACAACAAATGTTGCAACAGCTGACAGCATTTTTTAAAATGCAGTTTTAAGTGAAAGTTGTGTAAAGTAGAGCTACTTTCACATAGAAGAGATGGGGCTTTTCACAGCAAGCTTCCTGCCCATGTCAGGAGCTGTCAGACTGTCCTCACATGCAGCAGTTTTCCTACAGAAGAGCTGCAGTGAGGCACAGAAACACCCCAGCCCTGGGAGCACAGCCCTCACTGCTCAGCAAAGGCTGCCATGAGTCTCCTCACTTTCTTCCTCTGCCATTTGGGAGCTCCTTGTATTACAGCACAATAAAAATTGAGGCAGCCAAAATAAGTCTCCCAAAAGGTGCTTGGGTAGCAAGGGAGTTCTCCTGGCCCACGTGGGCACAGGCTGTGGATGCTCCATGCAGCAGCTCTGGGTGGGACAATGCCAGCTCTACTGATGGACAGCTCTGCTCTAATGACAAAGCAGAACTTCTCCAGAGGTGAAGGAAATGCAAGGCCTTGGGTCTACCAGACCTTCACAGAGCTGGCTGAGGTAAAAAACCTCATCCAAAGTGACTAACTGGCCTCCCAGAGCCCCATCCTGTGCCCTGACAAGATGCCCCTGCTTGCTTTCCATGCAGATCAGTGATTCCTGAGCAGGACATCCCCAGCAGAAATTTCTGATAAAGGTTTGGCCAATAGGAAAAAACAATTGCTTACAATTAAAAGATGGGTAGAAGAAGCCCAAGGTTTTGATGATGCCTGTGGGATGTCACCCACAGCAGTTTTGCCTAGCACAGGTTTTCCATGAGATCCCATCACTCATCCCAGCTCGGGCAGGAACCATTCCTCTCTTGAGTGGCTTGTAAGCTGTGCTGACTGTGTATGGAGGAATCTATAAGCAAGGATCAGATGCTACTGGGTGAACCCATGCAAACAAGAGGTTGAAAAGATTCCCAAAACAAAACCTAGAGCTCACTACAGATGACACAATGAAGACCAGAGAGAAAAGCCAAATAGTAATGCTACACCATTCAGCTTCCAGAAGCACATTATTTATAGCGCTGTCCACATATGGCTGCTGCTAAATGTCAAATCAGCAGCCTCATCAAATGACACTTTGGAACTAGTGGAGTCCACAGATCTGTACAGATTTCCAGTGCCACAACCCAGCTCTGCCTTGGCCAGGCTGTGCCAGCCCCTGGTGCCCAAGCACCACTGACTGCAGCCTGGCATGGGGCTCAAGGCACCCTCGTGGCACCGAGCAGCATTAGAGAGGGGGGAAAGGACATTTGTTAGTCAGGACAAGGACAAACTAAACAAGCTCCGGGTAAGTGGGTGATTCCCAGTCTGGCCTCAGCGTGGCTCCACCCCTGACACTGCCTGCACGGGGCCAGGGCTGCTGCTGGGGGCTCTAAGGGCTGTCTGCTACTCCATCTGCACTGCTGGCATGAGGGAAACCAGGAATTCACAGCAAAGAGACTCAATCAACAAGGAGAGATAAGGAATTAATGTGGAGAAAATCTGGGTTCTATTAAAGCTGCAATAATTTGTGACTTCCCATTCCAGTACCTGAACTCAGTGAACTCAAAATGGCCCAAAACAAATGCATGCAGCTTCTTGAGTTTAGAAAAAAAGGGTGAAGTGCTCTGATTTTTCATGGACATCAGTGACTGCACTGACATGAACAGCCAGTGTAAGTGCAGCATCTTTCAAAGCACAACAAGAAAAAAATGTTACTTGTGGGAGGGGGGAAAAATATCTGTATTTGTAGCTCTGAAGAGTCCATTGATATGAAATACTTTCTTCAATTTAGTCATGGAAAACAGCTGGCACTCGTTCAGGCCACGTCCATCCCTAGCTCCTGGCAGCTCTGCTTTCCATAAATGCACTCTGGTCAGAGTTGCATGTTTCAGAGCAGACATCTTTGGCCTAAATGAGCTGCACACAGCAGGAATTCCACAGGAACACCACCACCAGTAGGCTAATTGAGGACATGTTTCAACATTGTAATGATCTGTAGACTCCCAAACCTATTTTTCCAGCCACCTTTGAGTTGCATGCTGTAGCAGTACAGTCAGCACCTCTCAACAGATAATGCTGCAGAGATGGATGTCACATCATGGGGACTGTCACAGGGACATGGCACAGGAACACTCCCCCATCTCCAAACACCTGCAGGCTCTGGAGTACCTTCCTGGCACTAAATGTGGGAGGCTGCAAGGACACATTTGCGAGAATATCCTAAACCCACTCTGTGTTCTGAAGAATGACATTTTAACTGGGAAGCACTTTGATCTGCCATGGCCATAAACAAAGGGTGTTCATCACCCAAACTGCTTCCATACCATGAAGCACAGGCTCACTCCTGACTCTGATTCCTTGGAAAAGGCCAGTTGGATTGCTAACAGAGAACTGGTTAAGGATTAAAATCCAATTTGTTAATGTTGAAAATACTTAGATGTGTGGTAGTTCTGAAACATCAATTTGCCTTTCCTCCTTCCCTCTCAATTTTGGTTCTGGGTGAGCAAACAGCACAAAACAGAAGAAAAAAAAGGCCACAAAATCAGAATGAATCCTCCTTTCCTGGTGAAATATCTTACAGGAGAGGTACCCCACTGAATTCTGCTAAGTAAACTCTCCCTTCTGCTCATGTGTGTAATTTGCCAATTCAAAGAGCACACTGATCATTAACAGTGCGGAGGCAGAATCACCTCCACAGGTGTCAGGAAACACAACAAAGTCATTCCTGCTCCCCAGATGGGGAATTAAGGAATGTGAAACCTCAGAAGTGATCAGTTTGTTTCTGACTGCAGTTTCTGACACCACCCTTGCTCAGGCCAAACCCTCCCCCTGTGCAGCAGCCAGAGCTGAAATCCTGGGATTTCACTGGCACAGCTGCCCTGGGAAGTGCTGGAGTCTCCTTGGAAAGGCTCACAGGCCATGGAGATGTGGCATTTGGGGACATGGGGTAGGGGTGGCCTTGGCAGTGCTGCAGGATTGGCCGGACTCACTGAGCTTAGAGGGATTTTCCAACCTTAATGATTCTCTTATTTCAGACAAAAGAAGAGTGAAACAAACTTAACTTTAAAGAACAATTTGAGGTTTTAACTCTTTCTCCTCACAAACCAAGCCATTCTCTTGTCCTCTTCACCCAACTGTTTTCAATTAGACTGAACTGCACCTACCCAAGGAGTTGTAAAGATTAAAAATGTCCTGACATTTGGATAGTGAGAGACAAGAATAAAATATTAAAGCCATAATTTAATTTATTTTTTCTCCTGCAGCTCAGCGTTAATCAAACTGCACAAAGCATTACTCCTGTGGAGAGTGAGATCTGCACAGTGAGCCCATGTGGGCACAGGGTACCTGCTCATGCTTTACACACTTCCATGGGCACCAGAGCACCAGAGATGTCATCTGTGACCTCTTCCATTCCTCTCTGTAATCTGTGACCTCTTCCATTCCTCTCTTTGAGAAACCACTTTTGGAAATCAGCTAACCAGTCTAGTCTGTAAGCAGCATTTGAATGATTTTGAAATGCTAATTTCCAGTGTGGCCCAGAGTAGGCTACCAACACATATTTCCCATTTTATTTCCATCCAGCTTGGCATTTGAATTCAAATCCCCGTGTCCCGAGGTACGACTGAAGTATTCAGGAGAAGAGTGAATACAATTCCCATCTCTGCAGCATTATCTCATGCGTCATCAATTACTGCCATGCCTAAATCTAGCATCATGCCAGCACATTAAGACAGTAGGTACTATATGCAGTGTTCACTGGACCAGAAGAACAGAAATAAGAAGGGGAAAGGAAACCCTAGAGAAGAAATTAAAAAAGGCAGACCGTGCAATACAAACCAGATCATGGCTGCTTAGCTAATATGGGCCAACTGCTGCGGAAGAAAAACGTCGAACACCCCAAGTTGTGTAAATTTTTGGTAAACATCTAACACGCACACAAACACACACAACACCAACCTACACACCAACAAAAATACACAGTGGGCTCTGGCTAACCCTGGCTCTTCTAGGGGCTCACTAATGTGGAGAAACTTTAACTGAACTTCAATTCATAAGCAAAAGAAACACTTGATAAATACTTAATAAAAATCTAGAATTAATCAGAACACCAGTAAGTGTCCCTTGATTATTCACTATAAGTTTTCTTGTTTCTGAATATTTTCTGTTTCTGAAATGAATCTTAGCTAAGGCTAAATGCCAAATGTGGGTCCAGTTTAGGCTGAACAAGCTGCTGTGCCTAAACCCAGCAGAAGATGCTTTGCAAAGAGAAAAATTAAAAAGCTCCAAAAAGATTAAAAAATTAAAACTAAACAAAACCTATTTCTTTCCTCATCTTACAGCAGGAGTCTTCACACCTAACTGAAGGTAAAGCAATTTTAGAGAAAGGCTCAGGGCAGCTTCAGCTCCATGGGGAAGGAGTGCTGGCCTAACACTGATCCCTGTCTCCATACGCCAGGTGTCATTCTAACACTTTAAACACACCGGTACTTTTCCAAAAATACAAACTAAAAAGGATCAAAATGTATTTCACTATGCTATTCCATCAGGTTCACATCTAAATTAAACTGATTCCTCAAATAAAAGTATAAAACGTTAAAGTAAATATTTCTGAATGAATGTATTATTTTAAATAATCCCTGAAATATGTTGAACTCGAATTTCAGGTTTTAGTTCTAGGACTAGTTCAAGATGAAATCCCAGGCCCACTTAAGGTCAGCATGCATTTCACCACCAGTTACCCCTGCCTGCCACGGAGGTGCCCACTGCTCTCAGATTGCCTGCATTCACATCAAGGAGCTCCGGGAGCTGCAGCGCGGGGGGGCCCTTACCGATTCGATGGGCTTGTCGAGAGACGCCTGCTCGATCTCCAGGTGCCCCTCCTCATACTGATCAAAGTGATTGCCCTGCAAGAGAAAAACAACCAGGCTCAGCTCCACAGAACACATTTCCAACAGTTTAGTGTCCATACACTTTGGTTAAAGTGTTATATTTCATATAATGTTGATAACAAATGAACCGATTAAATACAGGCTCAATCAGTGTATCAGCTCTAAGTTTTTAGGTTTTTTTGGTCCTAAGTCAATTTGATGACAATAATAAACTATTAAAGTTGGCAAAATACCAAGCATTTACTGGATTTGTTTCCTTAGAAAGTCTATGAAAACACAGAGCACAAGCACCAGTGCCAGCATGGAAAGCACACATGACAAGGAGCA